TCCACGCTCCCAACGCGTGGGAGGCAAGACGGATAGATTTCAGATCAGATTTGAGTCTGTGAGGCCAAAAAACGAGAGGGCGGCCGTCCGAAAAACCGAGGGTCCGCCAACACGGGCTCGGCCCCGCGGGGCAGAGAGGGGCCCCGGCCCCGGGGCGCGATCGGCGCGCTCCGCCGCCGACCGAGGCGGCACCACTGCAGCGCCCACCAAGCCACCCCAACCCAACCCCAAGGCCTCGATGTGCCCTCCCTTTCCAGTGGGGGGGGGGTCGGGGAACAACGACAAAAAACACGTATGGAACCCGTACCCCCCCCCCCAACCCGAAAGGCGGGTCTTCGGGCTGGGTTGGGGTGGTTTGGTAGGTAGTCAGCACTGGCCACGTGTGCCTGGGGTACCTTCTGCGGTCCATGTTGGCGTGCGCCCGACCCGGAGGCTGGAGTGCTTCCCCCCCCTTCTCCGCTTACCTGGGGAAAGTGCTGCCCCAGGATGGCGCCAAAAGGGAACACAGGTACACCATCTGGGCCCTCCCGGCTCACACCTGCGTGGGGGATATAAAAAAAACAGGCAAGACAGAGTCCGGGGACGATGTCTGACCATGTTTGGCTTATTTTTGGATATATTTTTGGATATTTGGATTATGTTTGGATTATTTTTGGATTTTTGACAATGTTTGGATCATGTTTGGATATTTTGGGGATATTCCCAATTTCTCGCCCAACATCCCGCCGTAGGGGGACGGGCCCGACCTAACACCTGCGGCCGGGCGCACCCATGCAGCGCCGCGGAGCCAGAGCAGCCCCATCCGCGGTGGCCACGCCTGCTCAGCGGCTGCCGGCGGGCTCGCCCGCGCGACCCCCACAGTTTCGGAGGAGGGGAAAAAACACACAGACACAATTATTCGTCGACTCCCAGAAAATATAGGAAAATATGGGAAGTGGGGGGGAAGACAGAGACCCAGAAGATATGGGAAAATATGGGGAATCTGTTTATTGTATTTATTTGTGTGTCCCAGGGCCCCTTCAAGTTTCGGAGGAGGAGCACACATTTCAGCGAGCGGAGAACGGTATGACATAAACTTTTTCGCTGTCGGGGGCGCCTCTCCCTGGGCGGCTGGAACGTTTCTACCCCTACGGTGCCACTGTGAGGGTATGAATTTTCCAGCCGTCCAGGGGCAGGCGCCCCCGACAGCGAAACAGTTTATATTATACCGTTCTTCGCCCGTTAAACATTGCGGGCAAGACTTCTCTATCCGTATCCACTGCGCCTCTGGCTTCTGGGGGAGGGGGCCCTACCGCTACCCCTTTCCTCGTTTTCCCCTTTTCGGGCCTCGGAGGCCCTCGTCGCCACCATCGGACCTTCTGGATTTCCCACGGTTCGAGGAAGAAAGCACTGCGGGCAAGACTTCTCTATCCGCATCCACTGCGCCTCTGGCTTCTGGGGGAGGGGGCCCTACCGCTACCCTTTCCTCGTTTTCCCCTTTTCGGGCCTCCTCGGAGGCCCTCCAGGGGCTCCCGCAGAGGCAAGACGTCCCAACAGCACAACACCACTCAGTGCTCCCATGGTATGGCCGTCTTGGAGGCTTGCAAGTGGGACATCTTCGGCCATCAAAAGACATGCTTGACGCCCATATGGTTATCTCGGACCATCCGGGGCCACTGTGGCACCATCCTCGGGCGTCTTGGGGCCAGCACGGGGCCATCTTCAGGCGCGGCGCCGAGTGACCCGCGCATTCGGGTCGCTGTTGGGCCTCCAAGGGCTCTCTTGGGACCCTCTTTGGGCCCTCCTGCGGAGTCTCGGGGCCCTCTCGGGGCTTCCTTATTGCCCTCTTAGGCATGCGGCGGGGTCCGAGAAGCCCTCTGGAGCCCGCAAGAGGCAACAAGGCCAACACACAGCACACAACATGTGTCTGCTGTTAATGCCTGTGGCCATCTTCGGAGCCTTCGAGGAGTGGTTATTCAGCCTTCTTGGGACGTCGCTGATGCGCACTGGGTTACGGTTGACCGTCCTAGGCCATCCCGAGGCACTACTGAAGACGTCTTGGGATCATCGTCGGGGTTCTGTCTTTAGAGTGCAGAAGCGGCCGCTAGCGTCTGGTAATCGATGATTTTGTTTGGCGTCAATTTAGCGAGCGGCTACTAGCGTCGATTAGCGTTGATTTAGCGTCGACTGAGTGTCGCTTTAGCATCGGCTGGCGCCGGTTCGCAAGAGCCAACAAGATGGTATGTGAGGCTCCCGTGAGTTGCCGTCGAACAAGCCGTGCGATTGTGGAAAAAACGAACGGTGGCCCAAAGAGCCGACGGGTTGAGAGGGACGAGGTGGGGGCGGAGCGCGGGGAGGAGGTTGCCCTTGTGAGCCCCCAGAGGAGAAGGACAACCGCCTGCGCGACATGCTCGCTTCGTCGTGGGACGACACGGTGACGACTGCACCGCCGAGTTCGACGACGACGGATATCAAGGAGTATTACGGCAAGGAAGAGGGCATTGACTGCCAGGGCCTCATTGTGCCTTCGCTCGAAGCCGTTCTGTCAATGTGCAAACGCACGACTCTTCAAGTATACTTACGTCGGTTTTTCTCGAACAGCGCTCAGCTAGAGGATTCTGCGAGTGTTTTAAAATGAACCACAGAAGCGTTTTACAGGGAGTGCGGGGAGCCTGGGGAGACTTTTGCAGCCAGTTTCCCAGAGTCACGTTTCGCTTCAGGTCCCCTCACAAAGTCAGAAATCTTGAGCACGCCTCAAGGCCAGCTACAGTTTGCGGTCTGGACGGCTACGGTCTTGCTGAAAGAACATTACAGTGCACATGGTGGTGGTTTTACCCTCGTGATACGGCCACAACCCCGTAAGACAAACTACATTACGGTGCACATGGCCGTGTTCTCACCCTTGTCACGCTGCCACGATTTTTGTGAAAACAATGCACTACGGCGCACCTGGCCGTGCTCTCACCCTTGTCACACGGCCACGCTCCCTCAAGATAAACATGGACTGCGGTGCACACGGCCCTGCTCCCCCGTCACATCGACACGACCCGTGGTAAGGACGAACACGCTATGGTGACCATGGCGTTGCGTTCGCCCTTGCCACGTGGCTGCGGATCCCTTGCAACACATACCCTACGGGGCACATCATGGCCGTGTTTTCGCATCTGTTGTGAAGGCCTCACTGCCGGTGCCGCCGACGCAGAAGGACGACGACGACGACCACGACGACGACCGCGACGACGACCACGACGGCAACGAGCACGAGGAGTTGATAACCCTGCCACAAGCTCATGGCCGAGCTTTCACATCTCTCGTGAAGGCCACACGGCCGGTGCCGCCGACCCAGCGACCAGGACGACGACCACGACGGCAACGATATCGACGAGCTGATGACCCTGCCGCAAGCTCGTTTCTAGCTTTCCGTGGGATCGGTGACGACGACGAAGACGACGACAGCGTCTCACACACGCCGACTGGGTTGGCGGATTCCAAGGCCACGGCCCCTTGTTAAACATTCACTACGGCACACAAGGCCGTGTTTTCATTCTTCCCACGCCTAGGAATCCATACGGACAGACAGGAAGGTACGCTTTCAATCGCTGACCCCTCGTTCCTCGACCCGCCTCGTTTACCTTTGCCGTTGTCAGAGTGCTTTGCTGGGATTCTGTTTTTTTGTCTTGGCCGTACCCGGCTGTCTGCGGCAAAAGCTGCAACCGTGCCAACGCATCCGCGCAGCAAGGAGGAGGAGGAGGAGGAGGACGAAGATGAGAAGCGTAAGACCCGCTACAGTTCAGTGCCCTGTGTGAACTTGCGCATGTCCTAGACACCCCATCCTTGCCTTCGGCCTAGCTTTTCTCATTTTTACTTCCTCTATTCTCCTCATTCTCCGTCTCTTTTCCCCCTTCCCGCCTCCCTCGTCGAGGTGTTTTTGCGGGCTCATTTGAGGCATATCGGGGGCCTGTTGGAGCACGTTGAGAGCATTTTGGGGGCTTGCTGGGCTGTGGCGGGGCTGCAGCCTTTCTCTTCTCTTGAGGCCGTCTTGGGCGCCATGGTTCCATCGAGCTCTCCCGGAGCCGCCAGGGAGGGGGATCCCGCGCAGCAGATCCAAGACATCGGGGCTGAGGTCGGAAAGCGTGCATGTATGATGAGTTGCTCTTCCGCTAGGGGAAGTCCGTGCACCCCCTGCGGCCGACTGGGGTTCCCAAAAAGGGTTTCCGATCGAAGCTGCGGACCCCCTGTGGGTGCTTCTCTGGCGCGTGCGCCTCCCATGTCCTTGCGAGAGGCCTCCCGAGGCCTTTTTCTTGGGGGGGATCCCGCCCAGAACGGCAACGGGATCGCCCGTGGTGGTGATGGCGAGGAGGAGCAGGTGGTTGCGGCAGGCGCATGCAGAAGATGGTGCCGATGATGATTAGTGGTAAATTGGAGTAATTGCGATTATGACCGTGGTGATGGTAATTTGTGACGGTCGTGATGATGTTTACGGTGGTGACGGTGCCGTCTGGAATGCCCATGTGGACGAGAAGACCCTCTGGAATGCCCATGTGTCATGCGCGTCAGCGTCAGGACGTGTTTGATGTTGATGATGATGAGGATTCGGATGAGGACGATGATGAGGATGGGGATGAGGATAGGGATGATGACGTTGGTGATGATGAGCATCATGATGATGCTGATGATTTCTGATGATGATGATGATGATGATGATGAGAGGATGTTGTTGATGATGCTGATGTTGATGAGGATGGTGGTTTCGGTGGTTTTGGCGCGCGTGGTGATGGTGATGCCGATATTGATGTTGATGGTAATGATGTCGATGATGATGATGATGATGATGATGATGATGATGATGATGATGATGATGATGATGATGATGATGTTCATGAGGATGATGATGATGATGATGATGATGACGATGACGACGACGATCTTGAGGCTGATGATGGTGATTGTAATGTGTAAAACAATGATGCTGGTGCTGATGGTGATCATGACGATGACGATGACGATGGCGATACTGATGGTGCTGCTGATGGTGATCACGATGATGATGATGCTGATGCTGATCATGGTAATGATGGTGATGGTGGTGGTGGTGGTTGTGGTGGTGGTGGTGGTGCGCGTGGTGATGGTGTCGCTGATATTGACGACGCTGACGATGACGAGATTGAGGCTAATGATGGTGTTGGTCATGCTTATAATGATGCTGCTGAAGATCTTGATGATGACGATGAACATACCGATGGCGATATTGATGGTGCTGATGATGATGCAGATGATGGTGATGATAAGGATGCTGATAACGATCCTGGTGATGCTGATAACTGATGGTGATGGTCATAGGTGTGATGATGGTACTGATGATGATACTAAGGATGCTGCTGCTGCTGATGATGATGATGATGATGGTGCTGGTGAAATTGCTACTGATGATGCTTATGATGATGATGCTGATGCTGATGATGACGATGCTGATGCTGATGCTGCTGCTGATGATGATGATGATGATCATGACGATGATGATGATGCTGATGACGATGATGATGATGATGATGATGATGATGATGATGATGATGATGATGATGATGGTGGTGGTGGTGGTGGTGGTGTTGATGATCGTTGTGTTGGTATTTGCGATGATGGTAATGTCATGGAGAGGAGGTGTAGGAGGAGGATGAGGAGAGGATGGAGAGGCATGACGAGTTAGAATCAGGAGTGGGGGGTTGAGGAACGGGAGGAGGAGGAAGAGGAGCAGCAGCAGGAGGAGGAGGAGGAGGGAGGAGGAAGGGGAGGAGGAGGAGGAGGAGGAGGAGGAGGAGGAGGAGGAGGAGGAGGAGGAGGAGGCGGAGGAGGAGGAGGAGGAGGAGGACGGGAGGAGAAGGAGGACGGAGGAGGAGGACGTGCAGGATGATGAGGAGGAGAGAGAGAGGAGTTGGAGGGTGGGGGCGAGGGAAGGAGGGGGGGGGGATCACAAGGTGCCCTACCTTGATTCCCTCGCTTCCCGGCGGTAGCGTGTCCCCCATTCACCAGGCAGGGGTTGGTGCGTTGGCTAGGGAACAACGCTGCGTTCTGTCACCCACGTTCCCGCCCTTGCCAGGGGGACGCGATGTTGTTTCCCTCCATGCCAGGCTGCGCAATCCTGCCAGAGAGACGGGAACCAAGGGAGAGCAGGATGAGGAGGACGAGGAGGCGGATGAGCGGCAGCATCGGCAGGAGAAGGGGGGAGGGAGGATGATGATGACGATGATGATGCTGATGATGTTTCTGCTGCTGACGATGACGAGGATGAGGATGATGGTGATGGCGATGACGATGCTGATGATGAGGATGATGAGGGTGATGCTGATGCTGATGATGTTGATACTGATGATGATGGTGACGATGAGGAGGATGACGATGCTGCTGCTGATGATGATGCTGGTGATTATGCTGATGCTGCTGGTGATGATGATGATCACGATGATCAGGATGATGTTGCTGATGACGATGCTAATGAGGATGGTGATGCTGAGGTTGTTGATGATGCTGATGCCGATACTGATGCCGCTAATACTGTTGATCATGATGATGATGATGATGACGATGGTGATGACGACGATGACGATGACGATGACGATGGTGATGATGATGATGATGATGATGTTGCTGATGATGATGATGATGCTGGTGATGATGATGATGATGGTGATGATGATGATGCTGATGATGATGATGATGATGATGATGATGCTGATGATGATGATGATGCTAATGATGATGATGGTGATGATGATGCTGATGACGATGACACTGATGAGGATACTGATGCTGATGATGAGGAGGAGGATCATGCTGATGGCGACGACCATGACGATGACGATGTCGGTGGCGATGACGCCGCGGACGTTATGGGGCTGCCCCCCCTCATCCTCGGCGTCCTCGGGGGCTGGCCTCCAGGCCACCGCGGCCTGCCGCCTCGCGGCCTCCTCGGGGAGGCGGCGAGGCCCAATCTGCGCTCCGCGCCGGGCCTGGCCGCGTGCACACGGGCTGCCAGCCCTCCTCCTCCTCCTCCTCGGCCCTCCTCCTCCTCCTCCTCCTCCTCCTCCTCCTCCTCGGCCCTCCTCCTCCTCCTCCTCGGCCCTGGGTCCTGCCCTTGGCGCCTCCGTGGGGCCTCCGGGGGCCTCCCTCCGATCTCTTACCCCCCGGGCCATCAGCGCCACGACGGCCTCTGCCGTGGCACCCGGCTCGAGCAGCTCCTCCTCGTCGACGCCGTAGGCCTTGACCACGTCGACCAGCGGGCGGAGCCGCGCCTCTTGGCTGTACCGCTGCACTCCTCCTTGCTCCTCGCGCCGCTTTTTTGGTGGTGCCGCCTCGGCTTCTTCTCCACCTGCCAGCAGCAGCTCCTGCTCGGAGCCCTCGCCGAGCTCCTGCCCGACCTTGCACTTCTTTTTCTTCCCTGGGGGCAGCGGGGGGGAGCCCTTTTCGCCCATCCTGATCTGCTCCTTGGGGCCATAGGCCCCCGTGCAACTGCCGAGCAGCAGCCCC